ACCTTCTATCACTCATAAGTGGAAAAAGGGGAAGGGCAGGGGTGACATGGGAAGAAAAATTAGAAATGTTGCTGGTGGTTGGGTGTGTGAAAGAGTGGGAGAATATGAAGTGAAAGTAAAGAAAAGAAGAGGGTGATGGTGACCGTGAAAAATATGGGATATGGTGAAGTTAATTATGAGGCAAAGAGAAATGCAGTTTATTAAAGGTCATGTGAAAGGAAAAGAGCTCAGCTGGTGTAGTGGTAGCTGATGCAGCAGGTAGGTCTATATCGCTGAAAGAGTAGTTCCTGTTTCCACATTTAACAGTGATTCAAATGTACAACCTCAGCTGTTAGGGTTGGCCAATATGAGTTCAAAACTCTAATATATCAGGAAATATTAAAAGATTTGCCATGTACAGAACGTATATATTTACTTTATCATGATGGCCTACTTCTGATATGTTCCTCCTGTTAAATTTAAGTAAGAAAGAAATACTGAGCTATTTGCTGTTTTGTTTGCAACTGCTGGTTGTAAGTAATTTGTTGTGTAATTATTGTCCATTTGTAGAATAATTGTTTAAGATTAAAAACGATATGACCTATTTTGACACTAATCTAATACATTAAATTAGTCCAACCCTAGTAATATTATAACCCTGATGAATAATGATGTAGATTAATACAAAAACTCCACAAGATGTGGTCTCACAAACTCCTACCCCAGTTTGTGACAATATTCATTAGCATATGTGATAGATTGATGGATGGGGCGGCTGACCAACAGTGTGTGAATGTTAGTCTTCCCTGAGCAGGTGGCCCCATTTGTGGCCGCCTTTGCCTGAATGTAAATAGGTGAATGCTGACTTGTTATGTACAAGTACTTAGACAGGTCACAAAGACTGGAATAGGCTATATCAATTCAGTGCATTTACCATTTACCACAGATAGATTATCCCAAACCAGCTCAGTCTGTAAGCAGATGTGCTGAGACAGACAGACAACACACTAAGGGCTGTTTGTGTCGCACTGGGAGAGAAATTATTAGTATCCAACAGCCAAATACTGATACACTCTGGCTGTTGTGCTGAAGGCTGAGTGTACTGAGTGCCAGACATATTGGCAGGGGGGTATGAGATCAGTATTTAGCAAATAATTTAGTTGTATTCTTGGAAGGATTTTCACAGCAAACTGCATGGGAAAGATACATGACAGCTGACAAATGAGATCTTACAAACTCAATAATATAACTGTAATGGTGTATTTGATGATGACACGCTGTGGAGGAACACAACGATATTGGTCACTCCAGCCATGATAAAAGGACCTATTGAAGTGTGTATATGTGTTTTACAGACATGATATGACATGTTCAAAGCAAGTCTGTGTGTGGAAACCCAGAGCATAAATGGCACTGGGGCAATATGTGGTAATTAAGAAAAACTGTGCAGTGGTTCACAGCAGGGTAATTGGCTCTCATGCATCTATTTCAGGACACACACACACACACACACACACACACACACACACACACACACACACACACACACACACACACACACACACACACACACACACACACACACACACACACACACACACACACACACACACACACACACACACACACACACACACACACACACACACACACACACACACACACACACACACACACACACACACACACACACACACTTCCTAGAAAGCAATACACAAGCAACTTGCATATCCTCACATACACAACAGTGGGTACCAAGCTATAGGGGACTGTGGTCTTTTCTCAGCCCATACAGAATCAATAAGTCAGTATTGGACATGGCTCTGCCAGCATGTCTCCCTCAGTGTGTGTGTGTGTGTGTGTGTGTGTGTGTGTGTGTGTGTGTGTGTGTGTGTGTGTGTGCGTGTGTGTGTGTGTGTGTGTGTGTGTGTGTGTGTGTGTGTGTGTGTGTTTAGCTTTTGTCAGCTCAGCCTTTGAAGAAAATAAGTGACCCTGGACGGACTGAAGGTCTTCCCTTGCTTAACACATAAGCATCACAACGTGGTAGAATGGCAGCTTTTGTTAATGCTGCTGTAATAAATTAACTATATATAAATTAGCAAATGAATACCTGAGCTTCACTACATTGAAGTTAAATTGTAGACAGTGGTAATGACTATACGGTTACTAGCTTAAACGTTGCTGCCATAAGGCAACGTGCAGATGCTAATGTATATTTTGCAATATTAATTTAAAGTTATTTCTACAACAGGGCGTTCTCTTATTAAAAGCCACAATATAACATTATCCTACTATCATGCTTTGGTGCTTTGTATAAAACGTCTCATGTTAGCACACCTAGCGTTTCCTAGCTAACGTTATTTGACGTCTGACGGCTCACGCTACACCGTTGGATAGATATTAATGTCACTAGGTACTGTCTAACATAGCTAGCAAAAGCTGCTAATGGTGGCTATCAAATGTATTTTAATTGTTCTTAAGCCTGGAGCATTGGACGCTTTATGTATTGAAGGTAAAACACAACATAAGGTTACTACACACTGTATCTGTCTCTCATTGTCTGAAACATAACGGACTCCAGAAATCACTCACCTTCCTCGGCGGCGGCTGCATTTTGGAGTATTATTGACATGAATGGTATTTCCCTTGCGAGATGTATTGTCATTCCAAGAGGAAATCCAAAAATCAGTGGAGGACTATTATTGTGTCTCCTCAAACCAAAAATCCTCCCCTCCAGACGACAGGGAGGAAACACGGGAGTTAAATTTGTACTCCGGCGGCCATGATTGATGATAAATGGCTAGTTTGTACAGAGCTACGAGGAGAGACTGGACCCACTTGTGTTGGCTGCTGCCACTACCACAGTACTAGTGTGTACTGTACTGTGTTGTGAAGGAGGGCAGCAGACAGAAGAAAAGCAGAGGGAAAGGGATGGGGGAATATAATAGGGGAACCCCTTCCTCTACTAAGCTCAATAGCGCCTCAAAGAGGGGAAACTCAGAACCTGTCGGTGATGAAAAACACTGAGCAGAAATACATCCTTATTGTTTGCCTCATATTGCCTGTAACCTCGATAAAACCTACTCATATATGTTTTAAACCAAATAAGGGGACAAGAAATATGATAACTACAATAAGGGACTATGTATCCAATGAGCATTAGCATTTGTGTCATCCTCCTCCAGCCTGCTCAAGGAGAAAAGGCTGACACTGACAGGAGCCTGCGTCCTGCAGACCTGCATAGCAACAAGAATCCGCAGTCGATCCAAGAAAAATCGATCGCGGAGTAGAATGAAAATCAGTATTTTCAACAACAAAAAAAGAGAGAGACACCTTTGTGTAAAAACGAACCTAACATATTTGTAATTTGACGCTTTAGGTTGTTAAAAATAATGTTTCAAAAAAAGCATGTAATCCTAGTAGGCCTACAGCTAAAATTATGTTGTATTATATTGCCTATTATTGTATCAGTCCCTCATCAAAATGAACACCAATTAAATAATAAAGCATTTATTATTTGTGGTAGGCTTGTCCATGTTGTGCTATGATTTAGCAGACTTGGGCAGACACCAGGGAGTAAACAGGGTAAAATAGGGTCATGGAGTTCATTGGAAGTGGGTGCTGAGTGAACAATTAAAGGAATACATTACAATGGAGGATGTCTCAAACACCCTCGTAATGAGTGGGCATCAGCAGATGCAGCTGGTTTGAGACAGTGTCTGCATACTTGTTTGCAGACTGCATTTGTTTGTTTTTGTGTGTGTGTGTGGTTGCTCACTGTTTAAAATTAACCAGAAATTGAAATTTGGTAGGTTATTGGGTGAGAAAAACACAATGCAATGCATTTGGGAAACAAAAAATCACATATGTCTTTCTTTCTGATATTTGATAATCTCCTCACCTCTCTGGTTGTTCAGTGTGCCCTGTGAAAAATTGAAAATTGCCCAAATGTCAAGGTTAAGATGTCAATTGTATTGTTATATGCATGGTTGGCATCAATGTCTTACAAAAAGGCAAGGCAGTGGAACTAAAATATATATATATATATATATATATATATGACTACCTCGAAGCATTCATTTTGGAAACCTTTTTTAAAGAATTGTACTTTATGCCTCCTGTGTGCCATGCCCAAGGTTAAGGTTACAGGCCTTGTAATCATTAATACCCAGAGTTTCTAGAGCAGTAAGTCATTAAGTACTCTTTCACCACTCCTCTCAGTATAACACCTAAACTAACATGGGCGTATTCAAACATATGTGTGCACACACATTGGCAGTCACAGAAACCAAACATTTCTATTGACACCCACACACATAACTATCTGCCAGAGGCAAACAAAAACATGGCGTACATTCATTATTGGAATATACAGTATCTGTTAGGATCCTGGCAGGATGCTTTTGGTTTATGATTTATCTTATGATTTGGTGAGGAACATCTCTATTGCTTTGGAAAAACAAGGTGAGACATTTGACCATAAAAACAGGCAAGTACTTTCATCGAAAAAAACGAAAGTGGCCCATATAATTAGTTTTGGTTCCCACATTACATATTTGTCTGTGAAATCATACTGTTTCTAAGATAAATAGGACCATATTTATATATTTAGTGGCATGGTAGGATATATTTAATATTGATTACTTGTTTATTCTTTATGCTAATGGGTTTGTTTTTAATTAAAATGGAACTGTCGTTAAATATTCTTTGGACAAAATAGTAGCTTACTGTTTGTCTTTTTTTTACCGCGGTTTAACCTACAGATAGTTACTGTAAATCCAGTCTTAACTGCTCACACTTCGCAGGTTGCAGCTTGTCAAACAGGAACACACCTCCACATGTTTTCACATACTGAATTATCTTAGGCAGACGTTCAGCCATAAACAACCAAGTCAAATACACACTGTACTTTTACTGATGAGAATGAGGATACTTTACACACGGTGGTCAGCGTTGGACAGTCTTTGACAGGAAGTAGCATTGTACAGTGTGAGTAATTTTAAATGTTTAAGGGTTTTGTCTCTGGGGAAGGGGCTTATTAGTATATATCTTGCAGTGCAATGATGACATTGTGTACAGCCAATGTAAAAAGCATGAGTACTTCATTGATGAATAGTACATTTTGCTCCGTTTTGTGTGGCGTGCACACAGCATGTCAAAGGAATTTGGAGGAATACAAAAGGAGCCGTCTCTCTCAGGTCTGTTATCTGTTATATTTAACCTGCAGCTGTTTTAAAGAAGAAAAAAGAGAGTGAAGACAGCAATGGGTACAATGCGAGCCAGAAGCTATGTTTTTGATAAAGAGGAAATATTATCAGAGGGAAGAAACAAGAGAGCGCTGTAGGTTAACTCATCAGTGAACTTGAAAACAAGTAAGTTGTGCACCTTCTGTCTTCTTTGCTTGCAAGTTTTGAAAGCTTGACTCCATGTTTTTACGTGACTTTGAACGTGAGTACTGTATGTCAGATAAACACATTTTTAGAGGAAGAGAAAAAATTGACTGAAGTAAACAATATAGCATGAACGCCTGTGAGTAAAACAGAAAGAACATGTTGATCAGGTTCTCTAAAGGTCTGGTTTGAGTTAAAAAGTGATTTTGCTGTCTCTCCCTCTCCCAGCTGTGAGGTTTTGGAAACGTTGACACGCATAATGCCAGAATAAGGGCTGTTTTCTGCCTGAGAACACCGCTTAAAGTTTTGTAAAAGGTTACAACACAAGCCTGTGTGAATCTTTGACCGAATCATCTGCAGATCAGACATTTGCAAAGATTAAATAAAGGCAGATGAGCCTTTCTCTAACAAAGTGAGACAACATATCATGATATCTTATCAAGTAAATCCACTGGGCCAGGTAGTGGAACAGGCTCCATAAAGACCAACTTAATAAAGTCCAGGTCAAGTCCAAAAAAAGCTCCAGTTGAGTCCCAGTCAAGACCAAGTTAAAACTACATCCAGAACAAGTTGAGTCCTGTTCAAGATAAAGATTAGGACTTAGGTATTTAGAAATCTTTGGAACACTACAGTAAATCTTGTTACACACATCTACAATACTAGCAAACATAACACACACACATTAACTTTCACAGTCATTTATGTAGGATTTAATCTTTTTTTAAAGTATATTCCCTTCTCTCTATATCTCACAACTCTTCCCTCTTTTATTCAACCACTCAGAAAGAAATTGGCAATTAAAGGGACGTTGGGATTAAAGTGATTCACATTATGTGAAAAGCCCAATACATTTAAAATGGGATGACTCAAGCTATAAAGTGGATTGTTTCAATTTGATTGCGAAATCACACTGGACAGGTCGATTATGCTTAGGCATGGAATTACTTAGTGCTGCTCAGGCATGCAAAGGTGAATGACTTGGCGCACCCTAAAGTGTGATTTAGGTTGATGTCATTTTCTCACAGTCATTCAATGTGTATGAGAACATCTTCAAAGTTGTTCAAATGTAGCATAATAATAATCTATTCCTTTGTGCTTGTCTTTACCTCAGGGTTTTCACAACCGAGATGGCCACCTTTGACAACACAATAACCAACCTCACCAACTTCAGTGACTTCTACTGTCCCTTTCAAGAGGATTTTAAATATATTCTTCTTCCTGTCAGCTATTCCCTGGTCTTTGTAATCGGCCTGGCTCTGAACACCACAGCGTTGTATGTGATTGTGTTCCGCACAAAGCGCTGGAAGCCCTCCACCATCTACATGTTCAACCTGACGATGTGCGACACACTCTACATCCTCACTCTGCCCTTCCTCATCTATTACTATGCAGATGAGAACGACTGGCCCTTCAGTGAACCGTTCTGCAAGATCATACGCTTCCTGTTTTATGCAAACTTATATGGTACAGTGATGGCATGACACACACTCAGACAATACCAAAAAAACTATCATTATAAAGTACAGTAGATGGCAGTATGATATACCAAAAGACAGTACAATAGTGTTCATTTAATACAGTGGAGATATGTGATGTAAGTTATCCAATACGACATCTACAATACAACAAATATACTATGCTTACACTAATGATATAGTATGATGTTTTATAATATCATCGGATACAAGAAGACATAAGGAAAAATAAGATATGACCTGCAGTGACAAAAAGTGTAGTCTATATCCTAATTTATAAACAGTGCAACGCAATGCAACTCAATTTGACACAGGCAACAAGATGTCATACACTAAGAAGATATTTTTAAGAATACAACAGTTATTGTGATATACAATTAAAATCCAACAGATAAACAATTTGATATATAAATATGATACAAAATAATACAATTGTATGTAAAAAGATCTGACCTAAACATAATGAAACACAACTTGATATGACACAACACAATATGTAACATTACTCACTACTCTACTCAAGTCGTTAACATTATATCATGAAGAGTGTACACAAAAAATACTAACAGGCATCAAAAATGCTAACTTTATAGGTTCAGAAAGAATCCATGCAGTATGAAAAAGAGTGTATTAAATATGTATTCACCTTGCAGGTTCCATTCTGTTCCTGTGCTGTATTAGTCTGCATCGCTTCGTTGGCATCTGCTATCCGGTGCGCTCCCTCAACTGGGTCAGTGCTCGCCAGGCCAAGCTGGTGTCTGTGGCCGTGTGGGCCTGTGTCTTATTCTGCCAGGCACCTATTCTCTACTTCTCAAGAACTAGGTGATTTTGATTGGTCTTTCTTATCTTTTTTTTATTGATCTATTTCTTAATTCCCTACCAACAGTTACATCCCTCTTAGTTGTATTTAGTGTGGGACTATTGATTTTTGTGTCACAGTAAGTAATTTATGGAACCTTATTGGGCACCAACCTGAGAGCTAACAAATTGATTTAATCTCTCCTTTCTTCTGTTACTCCTAGGTCTTTTTTTTGGTTCAATGCTAAATAAGGCAGAACAGTTTAATAAATCTAATGAAATTGAAATATAATATTACTTCTGTAGCTCAGTGGATTGTGCTGGACTTCAAACCAAGGGAGAGCAAGTTTGAGTCCCACTGCAGTCAGCATGTTGTTGTGTCCCTGGGCAAGACACTTCACCCCAAATTGCTCCTGTGGCGATTGTCCACAGTATTGTATGTAAGTCGCTTTGGATAAAAGCGTCTAACAAATGTAATGTAATGTACTTCTGTTAGGGAAGTGGAGAATGAACGGATCTGCTACGACACCACCAGCCCAGAGCTTTTTGATGACTTCCTGGTATACAGCTCAGCCGTGTCCGTGCTCATGTTTGCCCTGCCGTTCATGGTGGTGATGGTGTGCTATGGCCTCATGGTGCGGAAGCTTCTGGAGCCTGGCTGGGGGTCTGAAGGTGGCTCTCTGGGAGCACAACGCACCAAGCAGAAGTCAGTGAAAATGATCATCATCGTCTTGGCAGTGTTCATGCTCTGCTTCCTGCCTTTCCACCTCACCAGGAGTCTTTACTACTCATTTAGATACCTAAGGCAGGTCGATTCAACACAGGTGAGGACAAACACTTTTAGAATAAATGTGTTAAATGACTTTGGATGCTAAGTATATCTTGTTTTTATGTGTTCATCAGATCAGCTGTAGGTTGTTGGAAGCCTCCAGTGTGGCCTACAAAGTGACCAGACCTTTGGCCAGCGCCAACAGCTGTGTGGACCCCATCCTTTACTTTCTGGCTGGGCACGACGCCCGCAGTACCCTCAGTAAGAAAAAGCCGTCTTCATCAAAATCAAGAAGGGTGGGCCGAACCTTAACAACAGAACTCTGATCCAATGCGTGAAACAATTTGGAAGAAAGCTGAACACTGTCAGGACAACAATGACAGTTCTTATTGCAGGTTTCTTTTGGTTGACCCAGCACCACATCCACTGACACAGATTTCATTCAGATTTGCGTAACAAATAGAAATGCATGTTCAGATTTGACCAAATCAAATATGGGCAATACAGTGTTAAATAATTTAACTTAACATCTAAGTTGTGTTGTTCATTTAATGGACTTAAACAAATATTTTGTGAGAGGACGTAAATAAACTACACTGTGCTTTGCAGCTGTACATTTTTTGGTAAAGATCCTACTGGACAACTGCTGCACCTGATGTTTTTGCATAGACAAAAGTGGGTTTACCTCTGCTCACCTTTCTTTTCACATATCAGACAAAGAACGTAAAAATAATTAGTCTGTGGCTTTTAAAATGAATACTTTAGACGCTAAATGACTCACGCTTGTCAATGTGTGTGTAAATAGTTGGCGAAACAGCATGTCTCTTGAAGTGAGCATACAACTGGAAAAACAAGACTTTTATTATACTGTACGAGTTGCGAAAACATTTTTAGCGGATGTCAGTTTGTGTCCAAATATGAAGGAATTAAATAAATTGTGTTGTTGTTGATGTATAGATTTTGACAAATGTGTGGTTATACATTTTTTATAATTTGTCTAATGTACTATACTGAATTTGTTTAATATCCATGTCATTTCATCTATTGAACACCATGCCACCACTAGAGGGTGACACTGTCTAACAAACATGCAGGTCATTGCTCACGATGCTTTAGAACACATTTTGAGTTTTTATAGTCCATAATTTTTTTTCGCACATCTGTACCTCACATATACCAACAGCAGCCAACAGTAGATAACACATTGGTATACACCACCAGCAAGAACAACAAAGAAGATAGCATCTAAAATACACCTCTTCTTTATTTTAACAGTAAAAACATCATACAGAAAAAAAGTCATATTATAAATGCAATTCTACAAAGTTGATGAGATGAATGTGTTTTTTGAATCCTTCCTACCAGCAACACTTCAGCAATAATAGTCCTATAATAATAGTAATAAAAACAGAAAAAAATAAACTGCTGCAACCAATACATATGCAGTCCATCCAGACATGTTGACATATTCCTTGTAACAAATGAAGTTAATATGTAAATGAGTGGCCTCTATGATTATAGTAAACTCTTACAGCCATGAAGATGTAAACTGAAGCCAACTCGACTGCATAACTTTGGTGTAACTCAACCACTAATCCTGCGCAGCCACTGGTTGGTTAATTTAATTAAACTGGAATAAAATATGATCGTGTTTTTTACAGTTATGAAAATTGCATAACTTGAGTCTGGCTATGTGTACTGTATGAATGTGGTTGAGAACGTTTTAAAAGCTCATGACTAAAACAGTGAAACTTTGCACTCAAATTGTGACAAATCATATAGGTGCGGAAGCTATATGATGTTGATGAACCAGCAATTCAGCTTATATGCATGATGGTGTGACAGGTTTCATGTTTTTTTAATGATGGACTACAAGGGTCACTTATTGCTGCAGTGCAGTCGTCTCTTACCTTATACATAGTGTATGCTAAAATTATAAAAAGCTGTATGTCTTTTTTTACCCACCCATATTTACATATGTACATTCATTTACAAGTTCTATTCTACAAAGTAATATCTATCCATCTCATTTTTTCAGTTGGAGTTCAGCCTCTTACTGCCGTTTGGGATGCAGTGATGTAAAAAAAAAGATTGCTGTCATAAAGTATTAGTGGCCCACTCTGAGAGGAACTTTTGGCCCCTGATCACCTACTTGTGTCTAGTCTAAGAGCTTTAAAGTTGCAAACTTTCACTGATCTCAGTGAGTGCATCTTCTGTTAAGACTACATTCATCTTTTTCAAATCCTATATGAGCGGAAGAAGAGGAGCTATTTTACTAAACTTATAATAAAACAATATTTAAAACAACAATATGGTGTTTAGTTTCATAACATTTTGTTCGTATAATACTTTCTGTAGTGCTATTGAAGTCTTAAATCAAGTGTCTAACACTCGTAGTTTGTATACTTGATTGCAGACTACTTGGCTTAATATTTCCTCTCTTTTAAATGTAGTATACACAGTTCAGCTTGTTTCAGACTCACTGCTGTATTAGTCTTGTCATTTGGTCAGTTAAGTATTCCACATTTTTTTGTCCTCTTCACACAAGTCTGTCTACATGCAATGTGTTTTACCCCTGTGTCCATTTCCTTCTGTGGAAACACAACTATAGTGGCTGAGAATGTGTTTTTCTTACGATCCAAAATGATCTTCTTTGTTTTTGTCTCTCATCCTTCCTTCTAGTGTCGGGAATTGACACTCTGGTATTTAAAAAGCTTCACTCTCCACTTTCCCTTGTCATTGGGAAAGTATAGTACACTTTTGTTGTCATGTAATAATAAATACAGTTTTCTTTCTCCTCATATTATGTAGAAACAACTTATTTGAGCTTGAGGTGGTTCTTGGGGTTTCTTTTTGTCAGATTTCTAGAAACACCCTCCCTGCCAGCTGTCAAGTTGATGAGGTCATTTTCAGCGAGGTAGTGTTACATCTCTCTGTATCTTCATCTGAAACAGAGAGAGAATAAAAGGTTAGGGAGGTGGCAGGATGAGGACATCAACGGCATAATAGGAGAAGGAGTGAAAGAGATTTTCAAGAGTAAGAAATAACATGCTTTTGAGCCTTTTCATCATTTGGTCTAATTCGAAGCATACATTATTGTCTAATTTAAGGATATTTTTGTGTGACTGTACTGTAAGACTTAATGGATAGATTTGACAACAGACAGGTCTACATGATTACTGTAATAATTTGGATTCACAGAATGTTTGCACATGCATTTGACCAGACAATAGGAAACAGAAGAAACTCATTTCCCAAATAATTTAGAGACAATGATCATGCTGTGTATAATTTCCTTTCCCAGTAAAACAGACCACATCATTCGGTGCTGGCCACAAAAATACATTAGCTCAGATGCTTATGATCTTGCGCTACTTCACAGCACTGCAAGTCATAACAATTAGCTGCATGCTGGGGGAAGAAATACTGAAGGAGAGGGGTGAATACGGTGAGTAAATGTGGGAAAGAAGCAAAAACAGAGAGAGTGTGCGCTGCAGGTTGTACCTCTGGATTCCAGATGATGAGGAGGACAAGGACTTTCCTCCAAAAAGGGAGTTTCGTTGCTCCTGGGATGATTTATTGGTTTCCAACGTGAGAAGCTTCATCTCTGGGATCTGAGCGACTTGAAATCTGTTCGTAAAGTAAAAGTTCTAAGTTTAAATATGTTTCATACTAAATGCTTTAATCTATAACAATGCTTAATTAATCATATTTAATGCAAATGTAGAGTATTTGTATTGTCATGTCAGTTGTGTGTTGTTTTGCATATGAAGTATTAGGACATGTCTCACCTCCCCACAGACAACACGGTCAGCTCTCCCTCCTTCCTCTCCTTCACTTCACTCCCTTCCACTTTGTCCTGTACAGTATTTGGCACAACAGCTTGTGTATGGTGGGTGTTGACAAACACCCCCCCAAGCAGGGGTCTCTTCTGCTGGTCGTATGATTTGTCCAGGGAGGGAACGATGAAGGTCTTGGCGGGCTTCAGGGGATCTTTAAGGGCACCCAGGGGTGGTATGAGGACAGCGGGCCACTTCCTCTGGGCGCAGCGGGTGCAGCGGTAGCCGTGTTTGGGGGCCAGGCCGGAGAGGCCAGAGATGGTGTGATGGTGGGACTGATGGGGGCACAGCTTGGGGAGGGAGCAGAACTGGGACAGGGGAGACAGCATTGGGAACCTAGGGGGTAGAGAAGGAGAGGATGAAGAGGGGGTAAATAAATGATTGGTTGGACAACATTTACAAACATTTAAGTCATTTTTTTAGTCAAGACAAGAAGTTAATTTCTCTAAAAATGTAAATACTGAAATGAAAAAATAATTATAAGATGGTTGTAAGAGCAAATCATACTGATAATAGAGTATAATTAAAACCCTTAAGTGGCATAAAAAAGGTCTATTTAGTGTGGAGTGTGTGCTTTGTTTTAAAGTTGTTGTTGTTGTTGTTGCAGAGTAAAAGCTTAATGCCATGATGACAAGCGAGTATAAAAACCTAAAAAGAATATCGAAACATTCAACTACACCTTTTAACAGATATTCTTTTTAAGTTTTCATGCAGCGGCTCGTCTGGTCTTCAACCTTCCTAAATTCTCCCACACCACACCGCTCCTCCGCTCCCTATCACTGGCTTCCAGTAACTGCTAGAATCCACTTCAAGACACTGGTACTAGCGTACCATGCTGTGAATGGATCTGGCCCTTCCTACATCCAGGACATGGTTAAACTGTACACCCCAGCACGTGCACTCCGCTCTGCATCAGCCAAACGGCTCGCTGCACCCGCACTACGAGGGGGACCCAAGTTCCCATCAGCAAAAACATGTCGGTTTGCTATCCTGGCTCCAAAATGGTGGAATGAGCTCCCCATTGACATCAGGACAGCAGAAAGCTTACACATCTTCCGGCGCAGACTGAAAACTCATCTCTTTCGACTCCACTTCGAGCAATACAATTACTAACAAAGCACTTATATACTAACAAAGGACTGGCTTATCTAAAGCTAGTTGAGTAGCACTTGAAATGTTTTAGCTCTATGAAACCTGATGTACTTATATGATTCTGTTTTCTTCTAGTTTGTATCTTCTTGGTCGAATGCACTTATTGTAAGTCGCTTTGGATAAAAGCGTCAGCTAAATGCAATGTAATGTAATGTGAATGTAAAAATAATAATACCAAAAATTGAAATAGAAATGGAAAATAAATTGTAGTTTGAAATTGTAACTTTTATATTTGTGGAATGTTCATTCAGGCCTCTTTAGTTGTTGTCTTTCTATTGTTCTTTGTGCAGAGAAAGTCATAGCAAAAGGGACAAAATGCAGCCGTGTGTCCCTGTGTTGCACTAGTTAGTGGGTGACCTGTAGTGACCCTCCCATCCCAAACACACACACACACACACACACACACACACACACACACACACACACACACACACACACACACACACACACACACACACACACACACACACACACACACACACACACACACACACACACACACACACACACACACACACACACACACACACACACACACACACACACACACACACACACACACACACACACACACACACACATAGAGGACCTGAGAGCTTTCCAGATTTCGGTGTGCATTTTGTGTGTGTGTGTGTCAGAATGTTCTCGAATCTAAAGCTCACATACAGCAGCAGCCCATCGAGCAGCAGCACAAAGCCAGATGCCTTCTTACTACTGCATACATGTATGTGGAACACACACACAAGTGTAATATACCCATTCACATCCATATTTGTTAGAAGGGCAATTTGGAGTAGAACATGCCTCCTGTCCCCTAATGCCAGTGCTGATGAAGGAAAACACAGTGGTGAAGACTGTGGCATATCGCAGCATGTTGCTGGATTTGTAAGATTAACTTCTGACTACATGAACACTTTTAACAGCCGCAGATTATAACCAAAGTTCAAACCACCAGTACTTTTGGTCATGTAAATCGTATGACTTTTAACTATGTGACAGCCAATGAGCTTAGTGACAGATAGCCTGGCGAGCCTAATGACTCAAGAGACACCGGTATCAACTATGTCAGACATTTACTCCAGACAAGAGGGTGTGATGCTATGCCAAGTACGAGCTGTAGCTGAGATTCAGATGCAGTTTACATGTGCATTGCTTTGACAATACATATTTTTTGCTTTGTTGAAAGAGTAAAACAAGAATAAAGAGCAGCAGGTATGATATTGATAAGATGTGTAAAATGTGAGTTAAACTCCCAACCAGTCAAGGACCCAATGTTGAATTATTATCCTGTAAATCCAAGCATGCATTCAAATGTTAAATTAAAGAACTAAAACAGTTTGTAATGTTTCATTTTAGCTGGTTCTACTGGAAAATGAGCCAATTCATATTTGTTTCCATTCAATTCATATTCAATCTATGTTTACATTAAAGGTGGTTCCTAATCTATAGGTGTACATCATTATTCAGCTTTCTGCTTTCATCTCTAAAGAAAAACTGTCTGTATCTTTTGGAAAGGTTTCCCTTCCACTCTCTGTAAACATCTCTTGGCAGAATTGAGGGCTCTGCTTTGCACTCTCCCAAATTGTGCTTTCCTCTGTATTCATCTCAACCTTAAACAGCTTGAGCAAAGTATATGTTGAAGGTATATATATATCCATGCAGGGCGTGTGTAAGCGAGTGTGGTCTCATACTTGATTGAGGAGCCTTTGCTTATGGACATCTGTTTGCTCTCGTACTCCAGCAGCAATTCCTCCAGTGCAGCAGCATTTTCTGAAAAGCAAACAAACACAAGATTGACAATCCATTCTTTAAATGAGTGCTTATTGATAATTGATAAGAATAGTAAACTTCTTTGAAAAAGGTTTGAGTCAGTGCTTGCAGTTCAACGTTAACCATTTTTGATGGAGATAAGGCGTGAACAGTCTGAGCTTGCAGCAGTGGAGATGCGTTTGTGACGCACTCTGATGACACCTTGTTACAATTTAAAGCCACAAGACACCTGATGACTTTTACCGCAATCTCTTACGTGACGTCACTGCTGCACGTACCTTTCTTCTCAGTAATGAGGCGAACCAGAACACTGATGGTGTCTTCATTCAGGTCGTCAGATATGTAGGGACAATTGTTACCTAGAGCAAACAAAAAACACAGACAGACAGAGAAAATTATATACCTTCTGATACTGTATGATGCACTTCGGGGTTCTAGATGTAGTATATTGAAAATGTTAAGTCCATGTAATGACACACGTACATGTAACACAAATACAAAGGCAGTCATATGCATAAAAACAACAAGATTAGTATTGAAAATATATTGTAGAGAACTATTACCAGTGTTTGGTTTACTGTGAAAAGGCTTGGTTATTTTCCAAAGTAGATGGTTATGGCTTTCTCTGTGTTGTCACATTATTACAACACAGAGAACGTGAAATGCAGTGTGCAGGAGGAAGACCTTAAGTAAAGTTGCCAAACTTTATGGTATAAAATGTGTTCTAAACATTTGCTATACATCGTAATATAAACTTGAAGCAAAGGGCCATATATTTTTAAATGTCCACCCACATATTTAACTGACTTAACAGTGTACAATGTGTTCCTTCCTTCACAGTTCACACAGTGCATGTCACTGCTGGGATACAGTGCCCCAGTGCACCATGGGACTGATAAGGATGGATGTGGATGACTGAACAGCAAAGAATAGATATGCCTCCATAGCAACACCCCGGACCATCCCATAATAGCAAAGCACAGAGAGGCAGCTGAGAGGAGAGTGATGAGGTCTAGAATAGCTCACTCAGCGATCACACT